CGAGAATTTAAACAACGAATGATTTCAATAACAACTTTCACACGATTCGAGTTTTTAAAAGAATTTCGAGAGAGAGAGAGAGAGAGAGAGAGAGAGAGAGAAAAAATGAAAATGTACGTTCTAGCAGAGACGAAACTTTCGAACAAACACCGGTTTCATTGCGCTTGGCACTATTCAACGTGATAATCGCAGTGAATAAGGTACTAATGCATTTTCCCAATGAATTAACCTTTATTCTGAATTATCGATACAGTCTTTGCTCTACCACACTCAACTAAGCAATAAACAAGCACGCGGAGATAAACAGTGAATTAATAGCATCGATAATCAAGGAGTTTACCATTTTAACATAAACGTCACGACGAATAAATGTAATTCATATTTACTGCAGTTTTATCGCTCATTAAAATAAACAGGTGTGCATGCACAATCTACCGAAAGTGTTTAAAAGCAAACAGAGTTTTAATATTCCTGCAAAAGGTACAAATATCAATAAGGACAATTAAGAGCAGAATTGAAATACGGAACAAGCATTCAAAAGAGTTTACCGTACAGTTTGGTACTCCTGAAAATATTTTTACACTGTATAAGTTGCCTTTTTTGTGATGTATTTTAGGTCAATTATAAATGCATTGCATTTTTTTCGATATAAAATGTTATTTACCGTACTTTAGGATTACGTATTGTGAGTTTAACGCATTTTGCGCAAATTATGCCCAATTACTGTGTTACACAAATATTCAGACACTCGGCAAAAATGAATATTTTCAATATTCATAGTATAATGTTTATATTATTCGTATTAATAATATTTAAAATATGCATATTTTTGCCTGAGCTATGTTTAACCCTCGTACGACGAATGCAGGGCGATTTTGACTCAACGGCGATAAAGTTAGGCGGCTCAGATTATGTTTGGTACAGGGAATACACCTATTTTACGTATCAAATGTTGAAAGTGTACGCAATTTCTTCTCGAAGCCCGTGTACAATAGAAATTTTGCTATGGGTCGAAATGACCCTAAATTCGTCTCCCGCGTTCGTCTAAAACAATTCGCCTTCCGAGGGTTAATGTTAATTTCGTTAGTGTCCCGATATTTTCCAGAGTTACTGTACACAACATCGTAAATTTGCTATTTTCAACTTTATTTTCACCTAAGTTTCGTCTAAATGACATACACTTGCGAAGTATCACCATGAGTAATTAAATGGTTCTCAACGACAAACCAGCAAGGTCATTATCAAATTATCGAAACTAACCCCTATCGACCCTACAAAATCCATAAATCTAAATTCCCAAATACACGGTGAACGTCGGGATATTGGTTAGGGCGAGAGAAAACGGGCGGATCTGTCAAACAGATGCGTCTAGAAGCGAAGTTTCATCGCGGATGTTTGGAGATATTTCGTCAAAGAGATAGAACCATAGCCGGGCGAAAAGCTCTTCGACGTGGAAAGTTTCGTAGCGATAAGTTGACGGGACGGAAGTGGCGTTTAACCAAGTTGAAGAGTTCCCTTTAATCAGTCCTTCATTTATGGTTTCCGCGTGATTGATAAGCACGGTTCTGTTTAACTTTCAGCACACTCCACGCGCGCCTATATATCGAGATGTCCGTTAGTCGTCGGCAAAACGGCTCGCTAACGAAGTCCCGAGAACCAAGGAAATCCACCCTTTAAGTCCGCTGGCTCAAGTATTTAACCGCGACCAACGCTAACTTCGTTGGCGATCGTTTACCCTGATCGAACAGAAATATCGAGAGCACTGGAGCCGTTCCAAGATCACGTTCGATCGTCCCCGCAGGTCCGGCAAGTAGCGCAGTAATTCCCTGGAGATTAGAGACGTGGAGAAACTAATTTATGGCAGCCGAAATTCTGCTTGCCGGCAGCCTGCTCTGTTGCGTCCATGTATGGATACACATGGACACCGATATAGCCCTCGTGTACAAAATATACATGTATGTATATGTAGATACACGTGCGTGTACGTATCTATTTAAAGCGTTAGACTTGTTAGAGGCGTTATTTGGAGTGTTTCGAGTAGTTATGTGTAGACAGTTAAAGCTAAATTAATTGAAAGTGTTTATGGGAGAAGTGGAAAATTGAAGTTCATTCGGATATCGTTGATTTCTCGTTTATCGATTCCAAGTGGAACATGTGTTGTGCTAAATGAGACAATGGGAGGATTTTTGAAGAGCTGCTGAGGGATACTCGGGATGTATTGAAATAAAATGCTTCTATTCTAAAATTAAAATAAAGTTAAAATAAGATTTATTTTAAAGAAAAATTCTATAGTGCAATTGAAAAAAGATTTTTTACGCGACCTTCATTCTTGTAATTAGTTCAGAAAATTCTCCATTACTTGTTCCAATAGTATGTGGTTTACTGACATAATCATTGATACTGTGGATATGGAAAGGTTATTTTCAAAAAATAATTAATTGCACAATTGTGATTTTAATTGTGCAATATGTAATACAACTGCAGAATTATACAAATAATAACGAGTAACCTACATTACACAGTCTTATTTGAATGTAACCTGATTATTCGACAACAGTTCTCAGAAAATCGTCGTATTCCATTGTCACACACGTTACATGTTGCGATCCAGACAGTAGAATATCCGAATACACACGTAGATCAGACTGCTTCAATTTGAAGCAACAGCGTAACATTTACTAAACACTTTACGTTTAAATTGAACGATTGCGTGTCTCTAGAAATCCTAAAACGTCGTCAAATCGAGATTAACGGTGGGAATTTGTAAGTACGATTGCACCCACCTGGTGTTCGCTTTGCGGCAAAATTTCAACTGGTTGTTAGTGCTGTTTCTGAATAATCATGCGCAAGTTTTCACTCGAAATGATCACTTTACGCACACGCTTCGACTGAAATTCAAATGCAATTCAAACACGATACTATTTAATGTATTCGTATAAAAAAAATATTCAACGAGAAACATAAATATTGTAACGGTGTAAAAATACGCAATTAATAAATATTTAATAATATATATATCGATATTAATAAATAATTCATAAATTGATAAATCGAGTTATCGATATAATTGGTTATTTTTTTATCGGAGTGGATATGGATAAATCGTGCAAAAACAACAGGAAAATTTTCAATCTGCCACATTTCATTGAATTACGTTTATAATTTGTTGCATTCAATGATTTACACAACAATGCGTATTTTACGTGTTTCGTCAGAGAAAAGCGGCTGTAACATCCTATCTCGTCATGTCGAAAGGTATACTTAATAGGTATTCTAATTACGCAGGGAAATAACAAAAGGATATACGCGAGTACGTTGAAAATGACAGCATTATACATGTATCTATATGCTGGAGAATGTGAAAGTAGTTGACAGTAAATCTCCTTGTCCTTTCCTTCCGAGTACTCTATTCAATCATTCTCCTCTAAGTAAGATTATACCAGCACAAGCTAAGACAATGGCTTCTTAAGGGTAGGAATCAAGCTTAAGCGGTTTGAATTTTGACTATACACACGATACGGAATTCCCACTGCGTACATCTACTTATTCAAAGCCAGGTTAATTATTCCGCTTATTGTTCGGCGAGACCGTTGTTCAAAATCATAAGAATAAATTCTAACGAAATTATCCTGTCGTTTAAAAATATTTAAAAAACACTTCAATCAACCATCGACTAAGCAAAGGACAGCTTTGCCATTTTATTCCTAATTGTCCTAATATTGAGTTAAAAAGAAAAGGAAAGACGCTAAAAAAAAGTCGAGTGAATTATACAATATATTTTCTAACGCATTACAGACAGGTTCGTAGGAAATAAACGTATTGAGCGAATTGCCTTAACCAGATAGAAAGCGTGCGTGCCGGGGAAGTAGCTGACCTCTCACCTTATTCCGTGAGAACTGCACCTCGGTTCCTTTGTAATCCCAGCACGCGAATCGAATTTAAGAAAGCCAATGGCTAGCTGTTCGCGAAGCTGCTAGCAAAGTTTCAGTTGGATTAGCGATATACCACATGATCATTGTTTCAACAAATCGTTCCAATACCTTCGTCTTTTATTTACCAAGAATAATTCATACAAACAGCAAACGTCAACAATTCACAATCTGTATCACAGTCGATCAACCGGAAGACGCGAGTAAGCAATAACGTTTACGCGAAAACCTCCACGATAGAACGAGCAGCACAGAACGAAGGAAACAAGTTTCATCGAACACACGTTGGAATAAAAAAGAAAAGCAACGGAACACTACTTTCCAAAATACTTGTCCGTATCGCCCGCATTTAGACACCTATCTCGCAAAGGGAGCACGTCGTTACAACGAATATACGGGCAGTGAGGAGTAAGAAGAAGAAGAAGAAGAAGAATGGTTTCGTTTGCTTACTATGAATACCGCGAGGTCAGTGAACGGTCTGAGCCTAGCGCCTTGGAAATCCCCAGCACGCGAATGAAATTTAAAAGAAAGTGGAGAAAAGTCAGTCAGTCAGTGAGCCGAGCAACCAGTCAGCCAGTCGTCAACGGCGGTAGTTCGTGAAATCGCAGGATACCGGCACTACGCATCAGTACGCTGTCAGAGGACGCAAGCGCGCTCGCGCCCCTTATCGAGTTCGAGAGCAAAAGCAACGGGTGTACCGGTGGTGGTAGGCGGTACACATCTATAGACAGAAAGAGAAGCGGATAGGGGTGGTGGAGGACAGAGGAGGAGGGAGGCGGGTGCAGTTAGGAGTCGGGAGCCGCAGTGTTTGTCTGTCCTTCGTATGGACATCACGTCTGACGCGGCTGATAGTCTACCCGCGCTCTGGCATTCGTGTATACGCGTAAGTTTTGGCGGCATCTATCATCTCCGATCCAGGACGTGTCGCGCGTCAAATCTCCGCCGTCGATGAGCTGCCGGTCGTGCTTTATGCCAGCTCGCGACACGATCGTTTCGTTCTGGTGACGTCTCGACGGGTGATTCGAGGATTTAATCGGTCGATCGAGATGTGAAGACGCCGTATTGGAAGCGATGTGGCTTCCGTTGTTACTGCTCGCCTTGATGGCGAGCGGTTCCGCGTGTCCAGATTTATGCGAGTGTCATCAGAGTGCCGTCGAAGGTGACTTGCCGGCTCTTCTCTATGTGAAGTGTCGTGGTCGTGCGCCAGGATTATCGGAATTACCAGTAAAGACTAGAGGTCTTGAGGTGGACGGAGCCGACGAGTACGAAGTGATCGGTTTCTTCGACGAACTGGAAGTGAGCGATTCGGTGAACGATTTCGAGGTGATCGGTACGTTGAACGAGTTCGACGCGAACGATACGTTCGACTGGAGAGAGGACAATACGACGATACTTCCTTACCTCGACGAATTATCGGTGACGAACTGTTCGTTGGTGTTCTTGAACGTGTCGTGGCATGGTTTTAAGCGTGTGAGAGCATTGAACCTGTCATGCAACAATCTGGCGCGGTTGAACGACGTGCTGGTAGGCGGTATGACGAATATGAGCGAGCTGACGCGTTTCGACTTGTCTGACAACTCGCTGACAGACGTGAGTGCCGGGGCTTTTAGGACGCTTGCGGGATTGGTGAGGTTAAGTTTGTGTAGAAACGCGATAACCACGGTGCACGAGGACGCGTTTCAGGGATTGGACCGGTTGGAATTTCTCGATTTGTCTGATAACAGGCTGGCAGATTTGCCAGACAGTGCGTTAACACCGCTCTATTCGTTGCAAAAGTTGGATCTCAGTGGAAATCAGCTGCAAGTTTTAGGTGCCAGGTGGTTTCAGAGTCTCGACAGATTGAGGGAACTCGACGTTTCGAGGAACGGTTTAGCACGGGCAGCTTCGGGAACTTTGCAACCGCTTCCGGGATTATCGGTACTAAAACTCTCGGAGAATCCTCTCAAAGAAAGAGATGTCTCCCTGCTGTTAGGTACAGGCTGGCGTTTAGAAACTGTGGACGCATCTCGTACAGGTTTAGTAAGGGTTCCAGCTGCTCTAACGAGATCCGTGAGAGCGCTCAGACTCGCCGGTAATAAGTTAACCACAATTCGCGGCGGTGACTTGGACAGTTATCCCCTTTTACGTATATTGGATATTTCGGAGAATCGACTGGTTGACATCGAGGACGATGCACTCGGCCGTTTAGAAGTTCTCGAAGACTTGGATATTTCCGGGAACGTTCTCGTCAAGATTCCAGGAAGTCTGCCGACCAGCTTGACACATTTGAAACTCCAACGGAACGCGATAACAGTTTTGAAAATAGACGACCTCCAAGGATTGTATAATTTAAAATGTTTAACGTTGAACGGCAACGATATCACCGTGATTGAGGTAGGAGCACTCGGTCAATTACCGATACTGGAAGAGCTGGATCTATCGGATAATCCCATTAAAACGTTACCGGCTAATACCCTAAGTGGTCCAAGCAACATCGCCAAGCTTCGTATGTCGGGATTAACTTCGCTTGAACGGAAGCAAGAGGAACACAGTGACATGGCATTTCCAGTACCAACTCCCGAAAGACTCGTATTTCTCGACGTATCGAGGAGTCCTGTTCTTGCTAGGCAGCTTTTAGCAGATGATGCCGCGTTGTCGGCTTGCAAAAGCTTGATCGAACTGAATTTATCCGAAACCAACGTCACCGGTCTCAGATTCGATCTGCCGTATATGCTTCCACAATTGCGCACTCTTGATCTAGATGGAAACGATTGGGATTGCACAGAAGACCTATATTGGCTGGGTGAATGGCTACGGCAGCACGAACAACTAAATAAAGGCGTTCAACCAGGTCAATGCGCGACTCCGCAAGAATTGTCAGGGTCTCTCCTGTCCGAATTACCATCACCGCCGAGTCCTCTTCCTACAACAGTGCCAACCACAACACCCACCGCATCGACATTATCGATTCTATCTGGAATCGAGCGTACATCTCATCTTCATAAATTAAACGTGTCTTCCAACATCGTCGATATCAAAGGAACCGTGAATTCTATCAACGATACAACAAACCAATCGACGAACTCGAGCCGCGAGATCGATAATTTCTATAACGCCACTAACAACAATTCGACGAAAAGTAAAACGAAAAATGTCGGGACGACGACGACGTTGCTGGGTAACAAGAGCCGTTCCTACGAAGCGCCGACTTTCTTCAGAAATGTCACGACGTCGACGACGACGGAGGAACAGAAGGGACGGAATTTCAGCGAGAAAGTTATCAAAGTCGATCAGACCTCCGAGGAGATTAAAAATTCAATTATAGACGTCGCCAGGCTGTCGTATCGGAGAACGAACGAGGGCAAACCGTCAATTATTAGGAGGGAGGATGATTCGGGAACTTTTGATAATCGTATAGACGGTAAGAGGCAGAAGAGCAGAAGACCGAGCAAACTTACCGTATCATCGAACAAGATCACCTCCTCGAAGATATCGAAACTTGCCACGGTGAAGGAGGAGGAGGAGGAGGCGGGTGAAAAGAAGACGGCCGAAAAGTACTCGAAGAGACTGAACAATCTGACAAAAGAGAACTTAGTACTAGGGAATACTCCTGCTTCAAATACGATAGCAGAGGAATTGAATAGTCGAGCGACTGATTCCGACGCGAGAGTCTCCGAGGCTTTATCCGCTGGTGCTCATCCTGGAATGTTGGTGCTGGCTGGTGCTGCTCTTGGTGCCGCAGCTGCGCTCACTGTAGTCTTGTCACGACGAGCCACAGTGCGCCGGAGGGACAGGTATCATCGTCACGAGAATATCGAAGTGCACACGCTCACTCCGACCACCGAACTTTGGTGACCAGAGTCTGAGTACGCGCGATTATTCGACAGAGATAAGCGACTGTACGCCGAGGATTATGAGAAACGTGTCGAAATTTTGTCAATATTGTCGCAAGGATTTCTCAGTACGCGACTGACGGACCTTTACTTCAACGACACGTCCAAGTAACCCGATATTTTTTTCCTTTCGAACCAGCCGTGCGTCTACAGGATCGATCTTTCACGTTTGAAGTTTTAATTGCTGTTCCCGCGCGACAAGTGTAAGACAGGAACACCTGGATAATTAGAGAAATTCAACATTCGTTCGAAACGAAACAACTACTGTAGAACTCAGCCGAGACTTTTCTGGCGGATGGGTCGTTCGGCGATAACGCTGTAGAAGAAAAAATTCGTGAAACGAACAGACACCGAGAAGTTGCGACTAAGATGTACAAAGCTCGAACAGATCACCTTACTTTTCCACGAGATAGCTGAAGTAGTTCCCGCATAACCATCAGACTCGGCTTTGTCCGTCGGGAAATACCGGACACACAAGAAAGTTCAGTGAAGCAAACTGTTGGGCGAAATCCCACGGAGTCTGTGAAACATCTCTCAATACGAATCTCGACCGAACGATAAACTCGGAGCCAGAGGTGGAGCTCGGTTACATTAAGAAAAATGAACGTGCATCATCGATAAACTAACTGAACAAAGATTGTTTGTCTAAAAGTATCGAAATGAACTACAATTCGCGAGCAAATAACTGATCGAACTTAATCCTCGGGTATGTTCTTCGTAATCTCGTTCTCCAACTCGGAACGAACAAATAAACAAGCACACACACACACCTATACAGAACACAGGCAGAAACAAAAGACGAGTGGTAGGTGGCAATAATTTAAAGAGAAAAAGAAAAAACGAAAAAAAAAGAAGAAGAAGAGAGGCAGTCTCTCGCACTGCATCGATCTCAGGCGGATCGGGACGTTAAATAGCACACAGTGACAATAATAATCGTAACGTGCCACGTTTCTGGATTGGACTTTTCACCGTACGTTTAGGACGCTTCCGTGATTGGGTAGAAGTGCGGCTAAAAGTACGAGGGAAAAACGCGGTGAGAAAAGGCGAGAGATGAGAGAAGAAGGCTCAAGAAGGGAGGAAGACGGCGGAGAGAAATTGGTGGGACGCAGGGAACATGTTGGCGTGAAATTCGTGGTGGCGAATTGTACGTTTGAATGACAGTGCGAGACGGGAAGCGAGAGCGATTGCTGGCCGGAAGAACTTTTATCGAACGCTGTGAGATCGAGTGAGAGAAGAAAGCGCGAGTGGTACGAAGAAGTAAGTGAAGGTGAGGGTGTGAGGAAGTATGCGAGGAACGAGCAAAGAGCAAGAATGAGAGAGAGAGAGAGAGCGTGTGTGTCTGCATGCATGTGAGAGAGAGAGAGAGTAAGGAGAGAATGTGTGTGTGTGCGAGAGAAATGATCGCGAGGTGGAAACCGCTCTCAACGGCGGCAACACCGAGTGTACAGAAACGTAGCTTCCGAACTTAATTCTGGAGGCTTGGCCAGTTGCCAAGACTCCTTAACAAACAGAAAAAAAAAGGATAAGAATGGAAGAGAGAGAGAGGATAAGAAACAAACGAAGAAGCTAAACATTATCTTTCTTAAAATAACCAGTGTCAAAGTACCGCTATGATAATAAACCGATGTACAAAGATGCAATTTACCTGATTCTTTTGATCGCCTTTTTCGTCTACCTGACTGTCCAAACGTTCGGTTTCAACTGTCTTTATCGACGAGACGCTATCTGAGTTACGTTTGCTTCGTAATTAGAAGGACTTGTTAGTTTAAACGTGTCTTAGGCTTGTTATTCTAGACTCGACGGAAATAGATAATTAGCGCCTCTTTTAAGAAAGATAATTCTCTCGAGGAACAATACATGAAACGCAGGTAAGTTAATCTATACCTATACGTTTTAATTCAACTTTTTTGCCGAGCGTACGATTTATTTCCACGGGGGAAAATTTTCAGATTTATTTTCATTGATTTCGTACATCTTGATGTCAGAAATTTTTTAACGATGCCTGACAACATGACAAATTTTCATTTCGTTTCTACGCGTATATCGATCAATATCTCGTGCTTTATGTACAACTGTGAAAGTGAACTGCATCCACAGCTAGTGAATTTTGTTAATCCATTTTAACGTGCCAATATATTATTATCGAAACACGGTCCGAGCAGATCTCGCTGTGTAGAAACATAAACTGCACGATTATATTCACAAAACAGCATATACCATCTTTTTTGACGTAAAACAGTAAAACATCGTTGTCATTTTCCCCTGCGATAATCGTAATTCCGTTTACCTGTATATTATTCAAAGGACACTATCTGACAACAAACACCGTTAATTCGCAAACACGATTTTCCATTATAAATAGATGTGCAGCGACGGTAAACTAATAGTTCAAATATGTCGGTAGCAGAGCAAAGCGGTGCCGGTAGAAAAGTGCAATTAATTTACCCCAGGAAACAGCATAATTAGCTGTACCGTTAAAAATGAGCCTGTGAAACGCGCAATTTATCATTTCTCCACGGAAATGAATTCCATCGCTACACGAAAACTATGAAATCCCACTGCTGCGTTAATAGCCCCGCGCAGCTTGGTCTAATCCTGATAATTGCGACACAACAAAATGCGGCGAAAATTTCATATCTTTCTGGTAAATAGTTCTTCTTTTTTCCGGCAGCATCGGTTATTTTTCGCCGGTAAGCGCGGAATAAGACGACGAAGAAGGAAGAGGAGGAGGGTAGTGTGAGGGTCTGTCGGAAAAAAAGACCGACAGCTGTCGGGAAAACCTGAGCTTTTCCAGATAAGGCGGTATCCGGTTCGATTCGAGATACAAGGATTTCACGCTTTCAGTCATTTATCGAGCAAACAGATTTCCTGCATCTGCCGTTGCGCCGCGCGTTTCGCCGCTGTCTTATTTTCCCTGAAAGTGCTCTGATGGAAACCGTGAGGATTCGTGGATTTAAAATAAAATGCTGATGCTTTATTTTCACACGAGCATTATCTGTACCATTGCTCGCAAATTGTCGAAATTTCTTAGCTTCTTCTTCTTTTTTTTCTTTATATTTTTCCAACACCACGTCGAGCACGATGTTAACGTTTAACAATGTAAATTCAAGGTTTTGGGGGTGAGTCGAATCGAAAGAACACGCTTTCGTGCGAACGCTTCGATGTAATTGTAAGAAATACACGGTGAGGTGTAATAAAGAAAATGGAAACGAAAGCACTGTACCGAAGAGTCATAGGAAATAATTGATTTGTGCGGAATAATGAAATTATGGAAATTTATATTTCATTTCTGAAAATTTCGAAAGATTTATCCTGCAAGAATTATTTACGAAATCCAAATGTTCACATCGATTCGTAACCATAAATTTCTTGCTCATTGTCAGATATACAGAAAAACAATATACACTGCTGTAACGTGTAATTTAAGGTTTAATATACAAATACTCGTAACAAAATGCATTGCTAAATGTTCATTAGCGTCTAATATACGATAAAAATGGTAGCGTTGTGAAAGAAACAATTTCTGTATTTTTCAATATTTTTATTAAAAAGAGTTTCATTAAAAATCTACTATCCACATAAGATTCTTTATTATTCTCCGTGACTACGGTTAAATCCTTTGCAACAAAAATCTCTACACTCCGGTATAACTGCGTTCGCTGCAGAAATTCATTTTGCAAATTGCATTATCATATAATTACTTAAAACCGTTTCGACGTTATCGCGACGCGAAATTTCATTTACGAATTTTATTTCCACCTTAAAGCAATTTACATTAAAGCCATTTTCACTTATTCAATTATTGACCTCTCGTGAGTTCCTTCCCTTCCCACCTGATGTTACAGATTCGTTAACTTGAACAACACCTAAAGCCAACACCCTCGAGAAAACTATGAAAATCGCCGTATATAATCGAAACACCGTTTAACACTTTGCAATTCGAATAGTCCAGTTACTCCGCACTCATTTTGCCACTGTCGAGAATTATCGTATAGTTCGCCTTTATTTCAGTATTTCAGCGTAATGTTCGCTATAAAATATTAAATTCCAGTATAATATTGATGCATAAAAAATGATTTCTTGTTATTTGTAATTTATCATTTATCATTGTTCACTGAAGGCAAAATTTCCTATGTCGAGTATTTCAGCGTGATATTAGCTGTAAAACAGTAAATTTCAGTATAATATTGAAGTATCGGGGCCTCCATACCCAAATAGGAAACCAACAAGGGAGAATAAAGAGGGAGTAATTGGGGTAGTGGGCAAAGCCTCGGCTGCTAAGCGGAAAGTCCCGGGTTCGATTCCCGTTGGGTCCATCGAAATTTTTCCGTCGGTTCCTACAATTTTAATGCATGAAAAATGATTTCTTATCGTGATATCTGAAGGAAAAATTTCCTGTAGGGCCGCAGAGGGGTTAATCCGAATTTCCAACGAAGTAAAGAAATTATACAAGGAAAAAAACACGGTCAATAGGGGTGTGTCTGTATGTGTGATCGTGTCGTTTGCTTGACTCTTCCTGGAAAGAAAAGCGACAGGAAAGTTACACGGAAGAATGCTTGGACGTTTTCAATTCACCTCGCTGGCATTCCTTTGCGAACTTCGGCTCTATAAATTTCGATTTGCGAGAAATTACAGCGGGAGAGAGCGGGGAATGGCGAAGGAGGGAGAGGAGAAAAGCGCGGTGGAAAAGATTAATTTTCCCCTGTCTTAATCTTAGTAATTTCATCCTGGCGCGCGTCAGAAGTTCGTTTCTGCAACGAATGTTAATCGGGTTGTTCGTGGCTTCATTTACAAAAACGATAAACAGAAAACATGCCTCGGACACCCTCTCCCTCTCTGCTACACCTGAAGGGAACGAAGGGATGGAAAGGAGAGGGATGAAAGTGTTGGAGCGTGCGCGAGGAGGAGGGAACAGAGGCAGGCCGAGAGCCGAGGCAAGGCTATAAAATCACGAGACTTTGA